TTTACCTCCCTGTGCACATAAACTACGGAATAAGAAAAAAGAAAAAAAAAACTAATGGTGAAAATTGATATTGAAAAGAAAATTAAAAGGAAAGAACGATTATTAAATGTGAAGATTTCATTATATCCATGTACATATCATCAATATTTTGTACAAATCAATGAAGAATTATTTACTGGAAATTATAAAGTTTAAGTTTTGATAAACGATAATTTACTTGACTTGTTATAGTTTTGATATTTAATTAATTATTTATTTTGTTTACAGAAAATAATTAATGAAATTGTTGTCCTGAAAATAAATAATGAAATTGTTGTCCAGAATCTTTTCAAATTAATGTGCTATCAACATCAAAATTCAAAAAAAAAAAAAAAAAAAAAAAAGAAGTGAAACTGCAAAAAGAATATAGTAGCGTAATTGAAGTGCTAGATGTTTTTGTTTTCATCTGTTTTGTTTTAATGACTTTTTTAACATCTTCCATTTCCCGAGGAAGGGATAGGGTGTCCCGAAAATTTGACGATTTTTTATTGTTCGTGTCGTTGGTCATTTCTGTTGCTTTAGTCTAATCATCCAAAGAGAGATCACAATAGTAAGTGCGTAATTTTGAATGTGTTGTTATGAATTTCATCAATTACATATTCAAGATTAAAAATATTCAGATAAGTATATAAAATACTGTGCATAAAAAAGACTTTACGGAGTCATGTCTATTTGTCAAAATGTAAAACCAATGTTACTACTGTACTATTTCCATGCTTTTTGTAAAAATCACAGGACGAAAAACCACCTTTAAGCAATCGTTTAATGGTGGTTTAACGGTTACTTTTAGGGAGCCAACTGGGGTTTCATTGTGTGAAAACTACAATAAAGAAACTCTTTAATTTTATACAGTATGTAACTTACATTGACTTCAGTGTACATGCCAAGCTTAGGGAGAGTTTACCGTCTAGGTATTTTTAGGGACCGCCTCAAAATATTACGAAAAGATTATATGGAAAAGTACAAATTTGTCGCACTTCAATGCAAATTATACAAATATTACGATAGACTTTTTACTCAAATTAAAACATGTGATGAGTAATACTATATTGCACATATTATGTGTAAGAAACACAAAATTCTAGTCTGGTTTTCAGAGTGGGCATCTCAAAATGTCAAAATTAAGAATTTTTCCTGTTTTTATGGAGTACTACAAAATATGACAGATACAAATGATTCAAACAAAGATGAATTAAAATAATTATGAGATTCTCAAATTTCTGTTTTAAATTTTAAAAGCTTATAATTTTTACTATTTCTTTAATAACATTGTTTATGATCCCCTCTTAAAGAACTTCAGTTTATCATAACGTCACAAACACACAATTACGACATCGATCTCTTTATTGGTTGAAAAAACGTTTTAAAAATCGTTAGATTTTATTAATTATGTGAAAAAAGTTTCCTTAAAAGAGGAAATACGCTTCACTTTACTATGATGCGCGAAGTATTACGCAGTGGAAACCCCAGTCGGCCCCCTTAAAAAGTTAATTCATTTAAACTGCCATTAAGCTTTTTTTAAGCTCTGGGTGCTTAATGTCAAAACTTCTTTCAGCCACCTCTACCCAACTTTTATCCAGTCTTTAAACTAACTTTAAAGTTTAAATTGTATTTAAGGATCAGTTGCGCAAAATCTTATTCAAAATAATTCATAATTTTGCTTGCGTATTCTAACATTTTTGAAAACGCGTATAAACTAGAGCACTTAACTGTTCAATTGCCCTAAAACTTTCGCTAGCAACAAAAGAAAAAGAGGAGAAGTTGAAGAAGAGGAAAAAGAAGAAGAAAGAAATCAGTTTGTTTAAAAACTTTTTAAGGTTATTTTTATTCATAAACACATACTTTATAATGTGTATAAAAAATAACATATTTTTCTTTCGGTGTGGGGAGCCACGTTCAGCTGCTGAATGCATTGTAATATAGAGTCATTTTCTTCTAAAAATAAAAGAAGATTTTGAATACTCCGTATATCGAAATAAAACCCAATTTGGACATTCGTTTTGTCCTTTGCTTTTTGTTTTTACATTAACACATACTGTTATCTCTCTCAGTAGGATCAATTTTCTTTGGTTCGAGAAATGTTTAAAATTTATTTTAAAAATTTAGCTTTGCATATACTTGATTACCAATCATTGAATTCCGTCATGAACAATTTGAATTAATTTGTGGTTTAGTAACATTTATTTGTTTTATTTAAGAATCATACAAAAGTAGGGACGTTTTTTGATCCTAAAACGAATCAACGGATTTATCAGAATAGTCGGTCTTCATTGTTATATAATTTATTTAATAAAAGAATTTTGAAGCAACGATCATGACGATACGTTATTTCTAAATCAATTTTCGGAGAAACAGCCGATCATATTAAAGATGACATCCTACCAGATTTAATCCTTCAATATGTGCAGCATATTTACAAGAACTATAATCTGTTTTATTTTCCATCTCTCTGTTTTCTGCGATATGTTCGGTTTAAATAACAAAATTTTGCTATATCTGTTGAATTTCAATCTTATCATGCTTATTAGAGCGAAGAATACGTTATTTAGAATTTAGTCATAAAGTTGTCACACCGAACGCCTTGGTTATATAATTTTGACGTTATATAGGGGCCTAAATGTATTTTTTTTAAATATGTATAAATAATATTTATCACAGACCACCAATAAAAAAACAAGTTCCACCATTTCTTGATTATTTATTTATTAAGTTTGGCATTATATGGCCACGACTGGTTGCAAATCGATTATTTACATGCAGGTTACATGTGTTAAGTGGGTACCCACCCAATTGGTTTTTTGGCACACCTCCAATCAAAGCAAACAATCAAACAATCAATATTAACTGTACACAGGTCATTTTTACATTGTAAAGCTGGCAAATTGTAAATTGCTTTCCAATTTTCCTCTGCGCCAGCCTTATCATAATTTCACAAGTCAATCAATAACGAATAATATTATTCATCAATCAAACAATATCCAGTCAAACAATCAATATTCAATCCAGTCAAACAATCAATTTTCAATTCAATTAATAAATATTCAATCAATCAATATTCAAACAATCAATCAATCAATACTCTCTCAATTCAATGAATCTTAGTAAGTTTATGTTTAAGCCAAACAATATTTCAATAAATTAATCAATGTTCTGTGTTAATTATCAAGTCAGTTATTTTTCATTGACCAATCATCCGCATTATCATGTTGCAGCCGCGCCCTGTTCACAGCGGCGCGAGTCTGTTTAGCTAAATCCGCCAAACGTGCATAGTTATTCAATGTAATATGCGCGCCGCCACAAATGTGGGGGTAGCTTAACACCCTACTCACATAACCAGTCGTGACCGACTACAATATATACATATATCAATGATACTACTAGTATTATTAGTCATTAATCACATTGGCAGTTCATTGTCTTTAAGCCTGATTTAAAAATCTCTTAACTACCCGACGTATTGTACATGTAAAGTATCCTCTGTTGTACCTTGATAAATTATGCTTGGTAAATGGTTTAATTACGATTTCGATATTTTCCCGATCGAACCTCCCATCACAATTCGAAAGGACCCTATAGTTAACTTTACTGAATTATTTAATGATTCGGAATAAATCTTAAATTCACACAGCCAAGGTAATTTGCCCCACAGTGTTATCTCAGAACACCATTCTAGCGCATTTCTCTCTGGTTTTGTCACAACATACGAAAATCCTAACTAAAATTGCGGCTATAAAAGCCTGTGATTAAAAAAATGAAAAGATGAATCAAATATCTCGGGAAAAAGTTCACATTCCTTTCTTATTCTATTAAACTGCAGGGTTTATGATCTGTAAATGGTTTAACAATTTAATTAATTCGTCGTAACACAATAAATAAGAGTATGTAGCTTTCCCACTAAAGAATGTAATATAATTCACATGTATAGTGCATCCAGTTATATCGAGGAGCAACACATCTAGTTTGGGGTTTACCAGCAAAGTGAAAAATATGTATTCACCAGGAGTGTATGGTTTGATTCGTAAATACTGTGGCAACCAATAATGTTGCGTGAGTATTCAATACCAATAGTGAAAGTAATTGTGTCTCTGCCGTACTGGTCAGTTTTTACACCCCAACCCTACTCAGTTTAACCTTTACGTGATGAAATTACTCGTTTATAACGAGGTCGTACTTAGGCAATGCCGAGTTTGAACTTATTATTAAAAATCCCCTACTCCAGATAATTATCTACTGTTGGAAACACATTGATAAGAATATGCGATCGAAAAGACTTTATTTTTTTTTAATGATGATAACATCTTAAGTGTATTCAAATAATTTGAAGATGGAGGTCTCGGTCAAAAACTTGATTGCTATCTCACCTTCTTCATCAAAAATATTACGAATACTCTCGAGCTCTCTATCTCGGGAAGAGGACTCATATATGAGAATGCAGGTTTTAATGAGCACTCAGTTCTATTTAAACTGTATTAGGCAGCATAAAATTTTGGAACTAGTAAAGGTGGTGAAAAAAATGTAAGAATTTTTTTGATTTTTATTTTTTAGTAGCAAAATGTACATATTTTTTTACCTATAACATTTTTTTAAATCACAATACCAACTGAAATAAGGTAACTGGACAACAATTGAAAGTGAATAGCCTTTGAAAGTATAAGTTACTTATCTGAACTTTCTTTATATAGTTTGATATAGTTTTTGACCTGAATATTTTTATCTTGTTACGCACGCTATGAAATATTTTGTTGCATATTTCAAACTATATTTTGAAATCAAAATATTAAGGGTGTTTACTGTTGTATGTAACAATTACAATGTTATGATTTCATCTTATCTACTTTATTTGATTGCATGAAGCCAATCCTGGCTTAATAAACAGGAAGAATGAATGGCTTAAAACACTTTCTGCTCCTCCAAAAGCAACTGAGGTCATTTCATAATTATGATATAATACTGAATATTAGCTTATGCAATTAACTTTGTACAATCCTCGCTGCGTAGAAACAAAACACTTGAATTCATCAGAAGAGGTTTTAAGGCATTTTAACTTGAATATTCACAACATAGGTTTAGGTGTAATTTAAAGTTACCTCATGCAGAAAACAGTGTCCTCATCTGTTTACCTTATTTAGCAATTTAGGTTACTTTGTAACCGCCCAAATGCTCTGAACAAACATTTGCTTTCACATCCACATAATTATGTTTTAATCTTTTATGTGAGTATTAAATCACTTAATAAGAAACGTTTTTCTTTTACACTTCTTGAAACATATCTGTAATTGGTCCCTAAATTTTGTATCAAAGTAGCCATAGATAAAGGGATTCACAATATGATTCAGAAAAACAAATCGTGCCAGATAAAGCCAGGCTACTGTCTCCGATTCTGACAGAGTGATAAAATTAAAATCCTCAATAGCATATGAAAGAATTAAAATGGCTAGCGGTGGAATGTAAGACAGAACATAAGCAATTATTATGACAAGAAACATGACTGTGATTCTTCTCTGCACGGATCCTTCTTTTGGGCGCGCATGCTTGCTTTCCACTGCACCCTCATGGTTTTGAACTTTGATTTCCTCTTTTGTATTTTCGTTGGATTTTTCCTTAGAAGTTTTTCTAACGTGTTCATGAGTGTTTGATTTGTTTTCTTTCGTTGATGGATGAACCTCTTGTAATTCAGTGCAATCTTTTCCATAATTTTCTTTTTCAAGTTCAATTTCAGTTGATTGTGTTGTATGTGAAGACTCGGTATGGGAATGAAAATTAATTTCATTTTGAGTGCTTGTCATTTTTAATTTCCGACGAAAAGAAAGCTTCACTTGTCTCAAAACAGGCACATACAGTCCAGCTGTTATTGCAATGTTTGCCAGCATTATAAGAGCCAAAAGTCCAAAATACACGGTTATTACTGGTGAGTTGTCAACGGAAAATTTACATATTTCTGTAGTAACATTGTGATTCATAAACTTATCAACCGTCTTTAAAACTCCAGAAGTTCCTAACAACGGGACAGAATATGCTACAGCAAAACCGCATGCCATTCCAAAGAAAACCTTTTTCCACAGTAACGTCATTTTAGGGCCGAATGGCTTGCATACCAGAAGGTACCTTTGTATAGATATGACGAGAAGTATATGTGCTGATGCTCCAGGAACACACATCTGCAGAAACGAGAGAATTCTACAAGCAGTATCACTCGGGTAATTGTAGAAGAAGGTGTTGTCCATGATATAGAAAGGGGGGCTTGTAAAACACGCCACAAGGTCAACAATAGCCAGTAACGGTATAAAGTAACGCTCTCCTCTCTCTTTAATTCGGAAAAAGTAAAAAACGATGATGGTTAGGTTTCCTATTATCCCGATTACAGCACCAATGACAATAAGTACTGAGCTGCTCAGAGAAATATCGGAATATTTTTCCAGTAGCATCAACTGGTAATCCGTGTCGTTCTCCATAGCTGAGTGATCCTGTATAACAAGGAAGACCGTATGCATTTAATAAACCTGTATTAAATAACTTCCTTCTCCTTTATACCTATATATCACTGTAATAAAATAGAGATCAACTAGACAACAATTAACTGTAGCCATTCCCAATACAATCCCTCGTCTGCACAGGACTTTAATTTTATTTTAGGATCCTTGGGTCCAATAAAACTGACACTGCGAAGGGTTGTGGATTGCTTACATTTTACTTTATCAGCTATCATGTTACTTCTACAATATACAAAACATCTTACAGATAAACAAATTAAGTTTCTATTCATGCTATGTTCGTCAAGTTATAATTATTGATTGTTGATAATGAAATGTTTATATGAGAATTTATAAATGTATTTTTCTTTCTCAAATATAACACTAGTTTTAGGTAGCCTTAACATAAATACCCCGTTGTTTTACCAGATTAATCTTGTAAAAAGTACATAAGGTTCAGAAAATAGATCTATATATATGTTGTTTTTATTTGTTTATTCAAAGTTGTATTGAATAATGGAGGGGGTGTTCTAAAAAGATGACATTGAATTAACAAGCGTTTTGGTCTAGAAAACTCTTCTCCATAAAATAAAGTCCTTTTTAAACTTTTTAAGGTATTTACATTTTTAAAATTGTATGTTATAGTTATAAGCACAGATTTAATCAGAATATCTTGAGTAGATTTGTAAGATAATTAGTATTCAAACTTTGAATTGCTGTGGTCTTAAAGTTAAGAAATCACGAATATGTACCTAAAATTGCTTTTGCCTACCTTTCTTGAAAACTTTAAAACAAATTAAAAAAAATACTGTTGTCTACTTGAATGGTTGGTGATAAATGTATAGGGAAAAATTTTCTTAATCTGCGCCTAACCTAAAAAAGCAACTTTGAATTTATAATTTTACATATTTAAGTAGGGAACGTTTCCTTTGCAGAGATATATTTATATAGTGAGTAATCCATGTACTTCCTCAATAAAACGTTCATGGTTCAACAGACAGTAACACAGTCATACTTCTCCCTAAATATGCAAATAAGATGATTTAAGTTCTCTTTTCATAGTTTTATGTTATATAAAAAGCATGGAATATACATGCATCAAGATTCTTTTTATGTAAACTCAAAATTGATGTGATTATCTACTAATTAGTTGGCTTCATCCAGTTCGTCACAAAGGTTAACTGCTACACAAAGATATGCCTAAATGTTACAAAATGATACACAAGAAAGGTTGTCTTACACAAATTTATCTTGCTAGCATGATCATTGGAACATTATATGCTCAGATATAGTAACGCGTATGTATAATTTTCCTGTTTATAAAGGTCGCAGAATTGCAGCGGCAGCATTCTTTAAAAATATGGCAAAACAACCAATATACTTATACTTTCACTTTTCAATTTATTCAACAATACTCGACCCAATCAAATTCTCTCATTAAGACGTCTCCATAAAAGACCAAAAAATCATCTGATACTTTAATCTGACACTCAACTGAAAAGAAAATCTTACATGTATCCCTGTCACGTTCAAAGAATTAGTAGGAAGCAGGATATTTTCCCCGATATTTGGTTTATCATTCTCTATAAATAGCAGATTAAGCTACATTTCAGATTGATTGATCGATTGATTGTCGTTGTTTAAGGTCCCATTCCAGAATTTTTCACTCATATAGGGAAATCATCATATTCCGGTGCATGGCTTCAATTTAGACTTAAAGTCGGCATCCACGGCCATTGGGCAGTGAGGGTTCTTTATCGTGCCAACGCCTACTCGGTATTTAAGGTCTCATCCGAAGGACCCGTGACTTTCACTTCTAGTGCCGGGCGCTTGTCAAAGGAACAGTCATACCTTTGTTTATGTCTAAGGTTTGACACGGCACGGCGAACGAGAATCGAACCTGAGCCTCCGACCACGAACCGAATGCCCTCCCAGAAAACTACCGTGACCGTCTACATTCAAAATCTCTTTCAAATTCACAGACAGATACTTGTCTTATTGTCTTGTCACTATTAACGCTTCGGATTAAATACTAAATGAATACGAATCAATGTCTGTAAATTTGCACATTTTTTTTAAAGTGATACTCTTTGGAGATAGTATCTTTCTTAAACAAGTATTTTTGCAAAAGAAATGTTTAAAACCACTTAGATGCCATTCACAGTTCAAAAGTCACTCGGAGCGAGCATATCATACAAAAATCTTATTGCTATTGTATTTTTCGGGCAGCTTGAATGCTTAAGGCATGTGAAAAGTCATATATTTATAACATTATGTAACAATAAATCTATACCTGTACTCACTTTATTGTGCAGTAGTATACCCAGCGCACCCCAAAGCAGACTGATTTGTTAATGAAACTCAACAGGGGAATCTATTATTTTTTTTCTTTAAGCTTACTTTTCTGATCATGAAATATTATAAATGAAGTAACTTGTCTTGGAAATATTTATCTCAGTGTAATAAAACTAGTGTTGGACAGGACGCAAGCAAAGTCACCCAGAAAATGTATAGAATATATCATCATTACAATCACTAATTAAAAGTTAATTTGTACCCATTCTGGTCCATTCTTATCTTAAGTGGATGACATCGCTATCTATAAATGATAGGATTTGTATTATAATGGACGTTGCATCATTTGTTGTGAAGAAATTGTTTGTATGATACATTTATTTCATTAGTATTATGCAGTAACAACGGTTCTTCGAAATAAATATCACAGAGTTCCTTATGTCTTGTTTCAGCTTATATTAAGATTTCAGTACCTTAAAAGTGTCCCATTTTTTTCCTTTTCGTAAACCTTGAATACATATAACACATCTACCTTTTGAATTTTAACAAATGAATTTGTAGCTTTAAGTCATATCATTTAAGTATTTACCACAAGGAAGAAATATATCCATTTAGATGAACACAGGACAATGGATAACGACACGGATTACCAGGAGCTATTACAACGAAGATATTTCTATAGTTATCTTAGCAGTTCAATTTTTATTGTTCTTTGCGCTTTGATTGGCATAACTGGAAATTTTGCCATTATATTTTTCTACTTTTTTCGCATCAAAGAGAGGGGAGAGCGCTACTTTATTCCGTTACTAGCCATCGTTGACCTTGTAGCATGTTTTACAAGTCCCCCTTTCTACATCATTGACAACACCTTCTTCTTTAATTACCCGAGTGATACTGCTTGTCGAATTCTCTCATTTCTACAGACTTGTGTTCCTGGAGCGTCGGCTCATATACTTCTTGTTATATCTATTCAGAGATACCTTCTTGTTTGTAAACCTTTCGGTCCAAAAATGACCCTTATTTGGAAAAGAGTTTTCTTTGGAGTAGTGTGTGGACTTTCCGTGGCTTATTCTGCTCCTCTGCTTTGGACAGCTGGGGTATTAGAGTCAATAGAAATATTCATGGACCACAATGTGACCATTAAGATATGTAAATTTTCTGTTGACTCGTCACCAACAATAACCGTGTATTTTGGATTTTTGACTCTTATTATGCTGGCAAATTTGTTTATTACAGCTGGATTGTATGTTCCCGTTTTGAAGCGAGTTAGGCGGTCCTTTCTTGAAAGATCCAGGAAAACTGAAGCTTATAGAGAAGAGATTATGGAATCATCATGTGCAACGCAAACAACTGAAGCAGAGAATGGTTCTGTAGACTCTACCAACAATGTCAAAGATTCAAAAGTAATACAATTAAATGAGAGAAAATTAAATATTCCAACAAATAATTGCCAAGAAACTGTTCGTAAATCTTCAAGTAATATCTCTGAAAATGGTGCTGAAACAAATGTGAGCTATCCCGGAAGTACTTCAAATAAAAAGTCAAGAACAAAACTGGGGTCCGTGCAGAGAAGAGTGACTTGGATGTTTTTTGTTATAATAGTTGCTTATGTCTTTTCTTACATACCACCACTTGTCATTTTGATTCTTGTGTACACAATTGAAGATTTTAATTTCATAACCCTTTCAGAAGCCCAGACTCTTGCATGGCTTTACTTTGCACGTTTTGTGTTTTTGAATCAAATTATCAATCCCTTTATTTACGGTTATTTTGATACAAAATTCAGGAATAAGCTTCGTATCTGTTGCAGGAGAAGAAATACGAAAACGTTCAACATCATGTAAACTTTTTTTTCTAAAAAGCAAACTGCTAAAAATATATCTTATTAATATTATTAACATAAAATAACTGGTATGGACTTTGAAAATCATTGTAATTGTTTTGATATAGAAAATGTTTGCGTTCAAGAAACCGATCTCATAAAATTGAATTGAATGCTGGAAAGTATTAAAGAATACTGTTATTTTGTAATTTTTAAGGTAAGTCCTTGTTATGTATTCTGGCATATGTTATATTAAGATAAGCTGAGGGTTTTGTTGTTGTTGTTTTTAATCTTTATTATTTTTATCTTCTAGTACAGTTATTGAGGTTAATTTATGGTCCAGTTGTCATGAAGCTACAACAATGTACTTTTTATTGTAAGGGAAGAAATAAAATTAAGGTCTGTTTTTCAAATTATAATGCGTGACCTTTCAATTTATCTTTTGAATCTTCAGGAAGATAAACCATAGGAATTAGTTGTGGCAATTCCCTTAGGTAAAATCTTTTCTTAAAGTTAAATAACATTTCAATTAAGCATTGTATTAATTCTTTACTTATACAAATGAAGTACTACGATGGTTGCAGAGCGAAATATATACAGTGTTACTGCAAACTTGTTACAAAAGTTTAATCTCTTAGTTTCGAATATTATTTCCTTGTTAACTTTAATAAAATGTACACTTATTTGAAAACAGGTTTATGTGCTCATTCATCATTTAGGCATTCATGCGTTCATTAAAGTTTTAGATTCACTAATGCATCGTTGTATTATTTATGATATAAAGCAAAACTAAAAGAAAATTGCTAGTCTACTTGAAATATTTCATATAACCAGAAAGTTCCATAAAGTTACCAGAAAATATCTTCTATTCTTCAAATATTAACAAACCGTTCACGGTAGCTCAGTCGGTAGAGCGCTCGCTCCGTGATCGGTAGGTCGTGAGTTCGAATCTCGGCCGCGACAGACCTAAGTCGATAAAAAATAGGTAGCAACTGTTCCTTCGCCATGCGCTCGGCACTTTGAAGTGAAAGTTGTGGGTCCTTCGGAGGAGACCTTAAAAACCGAGGTCCCGTGTCACGGCAGGCGTTGACACGATAAAGATCCCTGACTGCTCAACGGCCCTGAGTGGCGAGTAAAGGTCAAAATTTGAAGCCCTTCACCGGTATATGGTGACGTCTCTATATGAGTGAAAAATTCTCGAATGGGACGTAAAACAACATACAATCAATCAATCAATCAATCAAATATTAACAAACTTATTTCGTTTATGTTTTCATCTTTTATCCTATGAAGTTTGCAATACACTACCTAGTTTAAAAATTGCGAACGATGAGGTTTAGGATTGATTATATTTTCAAATGTTACTTCACACAGAATTTGTGTCCTACATTGATTGATTGATTGTTGTTTATGTCCCATTCAAGAGATTTCCTCTTGTATAGAGGGGTCACCACATACCGGTGAAGGGCTTCAAATTTAGACCTATACACGGGACTCAGGGCCATTGAGAAGGGAGGATTCTTTATAGTGCCAACACCTACCGTGACACTGGACCTCTGTCTTTAAGGTCAGGTCTGAAAGACCCGTGACTTTCACTTCTACTTGGCGAAGGAACAGTCACTACTTTGTTTACGTCTTTTGTTTGACAAAGTACGGCGAACAACAATCGAACCCGGGCCTCTCGATCACGAGGTAAACACTCTACCACTAGGCTACCGTGACTGGTCTTCCTCCACTGATTGTTTTGTTGTTTAACGTCCCATTTATTTTTTCACTAACATGCATATAAGACGTTACCAGATGTCTTTACTCGGCACTCAGCACCATTTAGCAGTGATCTCGAACTTCTTTATCATGCCAACGTCTGCCCAGTCACAAGATTTCGAATTTTGGGATATTCTTCAAAAGACCTTCAAACTTTTACTTAAGTAGTACTAAGTGCTCGGCGGAGGAATAGTTGCTACCTTTCTTTTAATCAACATTGGTTTGCTGCGGCCATGGCTCAGACCCACGGTTTTTTTACTATTGAACAAGCGCTCTTTCCGGTAAGTCGGTCTAGTCATATGTAGTAAAGACCAACACATACGGAAAAAAAACAGTGAAATAAAATCTCTGTTGAGTACACTAGAATCAAATTAATGATTGTGGACACTGGAATTCAACTGACGAATTTTATTTGTAAACATACGCAATAATTAGCTCATAGACTACAAAATAGAATAAACCATCTGATCGAATTTGCGCTGATTAACGTGAGCTTGTGCACTGATTTCTTTCTGCAAAGTCATCTTGAATTTTCTGATTTACTTCCGCTTTTGAAATTTAATTTGTCATGATACTTTAACAGTTTCTTCCTCATCATTTCCATGAAGTTTTGATTGTCCATTAGAACATTGCGTAGGTCTTTAAACGGTATAATACTTTTTCCTTGTCAATTTCTGTTTCAGTTGACAGTGTTGCATATAAATTTTATTGGGAAACATTATTACTCCCCGTGTTTGAATGGTACATTTAACCTTGGGAAAAATCCATTTGTTTTAGAAGAGGTACCTAGAGTACTGCAGTAATGGATAAGTTGGCCAGCACAAAATAAGACTCAAAAGGCCAAAATAAATACACAAATATTGTAGATTGTGAGTGAAAATAAAAATTTATATATAGCGCATTCGTCACATTCTGGTTCAAACACGTATTATTTGTCTTCAAAACTTGTTTCTATAGCCCAATACTATAATGCAATAGAATTTAATATTTTTGGGATCAAAAAGACGCAAAGGATCATGCATGAAGGTTTTCTTTATTGGGGGGGGGGGGGTTCAGAACAAAAACAACTAATCACAAAGAACTAAGTATTACTTAGATGCTAATTTAAAAGAATTTGTTTTCTTTTTTTTTTCTTTATTGACTGTTAATTTAAAGAATTTAATTGGCCTGCGCGATTATTCAAAGTAAATTGGCATAAGCTTGTCATTCAAAACTTGTAGCCCTTACTTTTGCATCGAATGTACACGGAATAAATTGAAAATCACCAAATCCTTTACTTCCAATGCTTTCTCACAATGATTTAATTCTGGTTGTAAAGCGTCATTTCATTGGATATCGTATAGCATGTGTTGTCTACGTCACAATATTTTTTATAAACTGTTCCATTGCACCAACCTAGGTTAAACAATATAACTTTGGCAGCTATAGTAGTAGATCTTTAATTGAATCATTTCTTATTTTATTGTTTAAATTTACTGCACATCTTAAAACAGATTGAGTTGTGAAATACACTTGAATGGAAATCAATTTTATTTTCCTTAAAAAAATCGTATTTTACATGTAAAGTATTATTTTCTTGAAAATAATTAAATTATTTATTAGAATGATTAAAATTGATCTGGACAAGAAACAGGCATGGTCAACAAGAATATGCATAAAATACATTTATATATAAAAATCAAAAATATAAACTCCATCCGCATACATGCTTATGAATCCATCATCAGTAAAGGGTCTTGCAGGAGCATCAGCAAGTTAATAATAATTAATATCATTGAATTGTACACACTTGGAAGATCTGAGAGCGATCCACTTATTGAAAGTGGTTGCGTTCAATTGTAATTCAAGTGACAAAATAATGCCAGATTAATGTGAAGTATATGTAACTTTAACTACAACTACTAATTACACAGAATCTACTAATGATATGATGTTTCATTAGTATAGCATTTTGCATCCATTATTGATCAATTTATATCAATTTTATCTACATGGACGAATTTCTGCTTAATTAGAATATATTTCTTTCAAATAGTGGATCAATTTGCCATTCCAAGAAGGACTGAATTTGTTTCATAAGTGGACGTTGACCATTTGTGGTGGACACAAATTATTTATTGCAAATTATGAACACATTACTTTGTAAATGATACAATTTATTCATAAATGTTCTTCAATACCAATGCTTCTGCAATTAATGGCAGTATTCCTATCAGCTTATATAAAGTTTCCAGTATTTTTTTTATAATTTTTTTCCTTTTCATTGACCTTGAATACATATATAACTTATTGAAATTACTTACACACCTAACTTTGAATTTTCACAAATGAATTGTAGCTTTAAGTCAGAACATTTAAGTATTTAACACAAGGAAGAAATATGTTATTTGTCTTAAATCCCTTACGATGAGCATTGGATTTCACTAATGTATAACGACACAGATTATCAGGAGCTATTACAACGAAGATATTTCAATAGTTATCTCAGCAGCACCATGTTCATTGTTCTTTGTGCTTTGATCGGCATCACTGGGAACTCTGTCATTATATTTTTCTACTTTTTTCGCATCAAGGAGAGAGGAGAGCGTTATTTTATTCCGTTACTTGCTATCATTGACCTTGTGGCGTGTTTTACAAGTCCCCCTTTCTACATCATGGACAATACCTTCTTCTTCAATTACCCGAGTGATACTGCTTGTCGAATTCTCTCATTTTTACAGACTTGTGTTCCTGGAGCGTCGGCTCATATACTTCTTGTTATATCTATTCAGAGATACCTTCTTGTTTGTAAACCTTTCGGTCCAAAAATGACCCTTAATTTGAAAAGAGTTTTCTTTGGAGTAGTGTGTGGAATTTCTGTGGCTTACTCTGCTCCTCTGCTTTGGACAGCTGGGGTATTAGAGTCAATAGAAGTATTCATGGACCACAATGTTACCACTAAGATATGTAAATTTTCTGTAGACTCGTCACCAACAATAACCGTGTATTTTGGATTTTTGACTCTTATTATGCTGGCAAACATATTTATTACAGCGGGTTTATATATTCCTGTTTTGAAGCGAGTTAGACGTTCCTTTCTTGAAAGATCCAGGAAAACTGAAGCTTATAGAGAAGAGATTATGGAATCATCATGTGCAACGCAAACAACTGAAGCAGAGAATGGTTTTGTAGACTCTACCAACAATGTCAAAGATTCAAAAGTAATACAATTAAATGAGAGAAAATTAAATATTCCAACAAATAATTGCCAAGACACTGTTCGTAAATCATCAA